GTGAGTTGAAGAACTCACAGTCATACAGATTTACTGATCATACTGACTCTACTTGTTTGGAAGACCACCTTCACTTTCAGAGAAAAAAGTCTGTACACAGTGTTGTCAGCAGGCACACGTGGCCAATTCATGGTGTCAGAATTAGGCTCCATTTTTAGAATGTCCTGTTAATTTTTTTAAAATGAGAAGAGAAGGTAAAGAAAAAGTGAAAGTTGAATTAGCCATAAATCTTTAATCTTTAATTAAGTCCTTTATTTTAAATTTTTGTTGAAAATGTGCATAGAGTCTGTTTTGAATATCTTCAATCAAGATATTGGGGAAAATAAAAAATTCCCAGTTGATATCAAGATTCACCCAAAAACCCAGTAGTTTCTAATACTTGGATCAAATATCCTTAAGTTAAATGTAAATCATGAAGTCTCAGGTTGAAGAGAAATGTTTTTAATCACTTGAGAAGTTTTTTTCTTCAGATGCAGATACTTTAAAAGTTTTATCAGTTTTAAAATGCCTTAGGTCAGATAGGAGCTCACAATGCTTCTCTTTTTCACCTTTATCATCTTGAAATTTGGCACTTTGCTCCAGTTTGGTCTCCCTTTTTTCAAATGATGATTCTCAATCTTTTTTTTTTTTTTTCATGCCCAGCCACTTCAGAGATTTGTTGTTCCCAGTAAAGATGAATAATGATAATGCACTGATTCTTAACAATGAAACACTTTTCTTCATTTTAATAGTCTTCTCACTAAACTGGGGTTTAAATATATTTAAGTCTGCTGGACTTTCATAGCAGCATGTCAATATGAACTATCACTTCTCTAAAGGAATAAGCAATACATATTGTTTTCCCCTACTTAAGTGACAAAAGTTTGTATCCCTCCTTCTTGATCCATCTACCACCACTCCAGCTTGAGTTCGGAAGATTCTTTCTGGATGGAAAGTCTTACAGGTAGAAAAGCTATGAAACAGAGCTGAAAATGTTTGACTATGTGAAATATTTCTTCATCAGCAGTATTGTTTACAAAGTAAACACATATACTATTCCAATTGCCTAAGACTGAAGCACACACAAAATCTTCTTATATAGTAAATCTTGTGCTCACTTGTCTCTTTTGAAATTCTTCAATACCCAGAGGAATACTACTTAATAAAAATGATTGATATACTGAAAGTGTGCACATACTTCCCCCTTTGGTGAATTCACACAGTCAATGAACATCCCTTGAGGGTCTCTCTATGAATCAGAGTGTACATGGGGTTTAGGAGATTTTTAAACCATGAGCTATATTTATGCACTATCAACAAAATAGGGAAATGGGCCTAAAGGTAATCTTTTCCTTTCCTCCCTATAATTTCCTCTGTTTCTAATTTTGTAGCAGTGAAGTTTCAACTGGTTAATCAAATGTCTTTTGTGCGGCAGGTGCCAGGGTGCTTGTTTTCATTAGTGTACCAAATGCCATTTTTAGGAACTTGGCCTTTTGGTTAACTGGCTACAAGCTTGGCTTTAAACCATTAAATGAGTGTATTTAACTCGGCATTTATTTTTATGTCTCCCTATCCAAATAATCAGGATGTGGTTATCTGTTAGATGATATATTATGACTTTTTTCCTATATACACCCAAGCACAAAAATATATGCCTCAGACATAATCATCAATACTATAAACACCCATCATCCTGTGCCATTTATAAGATTACAGAAATGGAGAGAAACCTTAGTAAGAAGTGTATAAAAATAGTTAAAGGAAATCCACATGGAAACACTTATAAAATTTGGTAATTTCACACTCTAAAACCTATTTTTAACATAATAAAAATGAAGAAGGAAAACATCACAGTGGTAGTTTATCTTTGATTAAATGATAGAACTCTATTTTAAAATAATATATATATATATATAAAACATGAGATCAGGTTTAAAAATATACCTTTGTTCTTAATATATTTTCCTTTATGTGGAGGATAAAGAAACATCAGCAAAATGAGCACAAATTATGACTAAGTGGCTGATTTTCTAAAGGAATAGCTAAGGCAGTGTTTGGTTGGTTGCATTATTTCTCATCTATTTTCTCAATTTAGAGACAGTCATGATTTATGCAAAAATTATTATTTATTTCGGAAATACCCAAATCAAATATCAGTTTAGCAAAAAGAAAACAAAGAATTCGTTTCTTCCTTCTTTCCAGGAAAGGATGGAATAAAGAAAATATATAGTGAATAGTATGAAGTGCAAGATTCCAAAATAAATTATTTGATATGATAATGAGCAAATAGTTTGGGCTAAACTATGTGAAAATTAAAATTATATTTGATAAAAATAAATTTTACAGACAATGCCAAAATATTTTTATCTCCATTTAGTCTCAATAAACATAATTAATACAGATGCTACTCTGCTTATACAAAAAATTTATTTGTTCATATTCTAACATGCAACATATATCACTAAGATTTACACTGAGGTTTTAAGATAATATTTTAAGGAAGTGTCATAAAGAAAAATTTTAGTCACACCAAAATGTATGCGGTTATTAAAGAAATATTTAGTAATTCTCATAAATATTTCTTCACTTACAAATTATAAATACCACATAAAGGGGCTATGCATGAATCAATTTAATCCTCTCAAAGCTCTTATTAGGTGAGAATTACTTCTCACTTCATATATAAGTAAAATGAAGCTCAAGTGTGTTAAATGATATATATATGTATGTGTGTGTGTGTGTGTGTGTGTGTATACACACACACAAGGTCACACTAATATGAAAACAAAAATAATGAGAATCAAACCCAGTCCTTCAGATTTCATGGTAGCATTTCTTTCTCTTTGCCCCCAGCAAGTTTTTCAAATTATTATTCCTTAAGGAGACAGAAGTGTACTGAGACTTCTCATTAATTACCAATGAACCTTGGAGACTTTCCCAATTCTTCATATTAAGTGGCAAAGACTCTATTCCAGCTGGCTCATACCTGAAGTCTGCCCTCCATAGGACAATGTCTCCTCCTGTACTATTCAATGTTCAGAGTTTATTATTCAATCAGGCAATCAGCAAGCCCAATAGAAATCATAGATGAACTTTAATTGGCTGTATAAACCACAAATATATAAATGACATACATTTGTGCCTACTACACAGAATTTTTAAATGTAATTTTTTATATATTTACTTTTTTTAAAATTATAGATTAAAAACTAAGTCCTTTATCTTTCCTCCATAATCTTATTCACCTTATTTCTTCTTCTGAGGCACTCATATTCATAAATCAAGTTCTATTGGTTTACAGTTTAATTATATGTATATATTCAAAAAATATATAGAAATGCTTTATGTATTTTTAATTCAGTTATATAGTGTTATGACATGTTGTTTTAGTCAGCTTTTTCTCTGCTGTGACTAAAAGATCTGACCAGAACAATTGCAGAGGAGGAAAAGTTTATTTGAGGGATCATGGTTGCAGAGGTCTTAGTCCATAGATGGCTGGCTCCATTCCTTGGGGCTCAAGGTGAGGCAGAACCTTATGGTAAGAGAGTGTGGAGAAGGGAATCAGCTCACCTGATAATCAGGAAGCAGAGAGAGAGCTCCACTCACCAGATACAAATATATACAAAGCTACACCCCCTTTGTCCCACATCCTCCAGCCATACCCCAACTGCCTTCAGTTAATCCCATCAGGGGATTAATTCACTGATTGGGTTTAGACTCTCACAACCCAATTACTTGTCCTCTGAACCTTCTTGCATTGTCTCACACAAGAGCTTTTCGGACACTTCATATCCAAACCATAATACATGTATTGTTCTATACTCCCCATCCCAGTTTTAATGAAATCCGCAAATACATTTAAATAATTCAATGGTAAATAGAAGTATATCTAAATTATTTGCTTTAAGTCCATAGTATAAATAAATTTCAATTGACAAATCCTCATCTTTTGAATGGACCACTTGGGTTGATTCCAGCTTTTTACTACTATAAGGGTTTAGACTTCCAGACACATGTCTCCTAATAAGCTTATAAGAGTTTCTCAGAGATATATACCCAGAAACAAAATAAAAGATCATAGGTATTGCATGATCACTTTCAATCCTTATGCCCAATTTTTTTCAAATGGAAGGATCCATTTCCAAATCAGCATTTTTTATATTTTCTTTTTTCTAGCATTATTCTAAACATATGCAGTGGTGTCTTAAATTTCTTGCTGCTCTTATTGTGTAAATGGTATATCATTTCTCTTTTTATTTATGTTAAATAGGCTACATATATTATGGGATGTTTATTTTTCATTAACTTCTCTCCTTTTCTATGAAATCTCCATTTACAATTTTGGCCATTTTTATTTAGTTGTGTGTCTATATTTTAAATTTATTTATCAGACTTATTTACATGCTCCAAATACTACTTTTTCTTTTATATATTTATTAATAATATCTTCCATTTTGTAATTTGTCTTTTGATTTTATTAGATTGGACATGGAATTTTAACATTTTGTATTGAAATTTCACTATTTTTTCTATATGTACATTTTGAAACTTGCATAAAAATTCTGACATAATAAAAATATAATTTTTTTTAATTTTTTTAATGTAAATGCTTTCAGATACACCACATTCTGTCTGATTCAGAACCCATCAGGCCTTTTTCTCTTTTACCTTGCCAATTTTACATATTTCTCCTTAGGTACGTGAGGCTTCATTCTCTGTATTAGACAAAGAATAAAGTTATATAAATTTCTCAGACCCCAGGTTACTTTGAATTAAATTATTATTATTATTATTATTATAGCTATACAAACTCAATCTATGTTTCCGTGTAAATGAAGACTTGATTGAATTCAATCTGGAAGACTGACAGCTTCTATTGAGTATCATTGAAGTTTTGTAGAAATACACTCCTGTACACAGAAGTGCTTATCATGTGCATGTAACATACTTCTTAGGAGATTTCTTCTCTGTATTTCTATTCAAAACTAATCAATGCTAACCCTGATCTACATGACCCTTAGATGCTGGACTGGAGACTGGCAAGTGCACATTTCATCCTGGCTGTGTCTTTGATATTGTGGAGCTCAGGAAAAGTGCTCTCAGTGGATGCAGCAACAGAGGTAATGGAAACTATCTTGAAAGACTTTATCAACAGTTTTATGAACACAAGCTATTTTTACTATAGTCAGGAGGCACAGCTGAAAAATAGGGATATATTTTGATAACACAAAGTCAAGGAAATAGGTGCTTTTGCTATTGCTTTTTTTGTTTGTTTGTTTTGCCAATGTTATTCAAGGTTGAGAACTTTAAATGTAAATAGTAATGATTATTAACCTTCTAAGCAAATTCAGAGCAAGTCACATATTTTCAACATTAAAAGTAACTCGAAATAAGAAACACTTGTATTCCTTAAAGTAGAAAGCATTAATATATATATATATATATATATATAAAATTTCTACCATCTTTCTTTCATTTTTCTTTTTTTTTTCAATTGGTACTGGGAATTGAACCCAGGAACACTTAACTGCTGAGCCACATCCCCAGTCCTTTGTCCCTTTTAATTTTTCTTTTGACATAGGGTCTTGGTAAGTTGCTTAAGGTCTTATCAAATTGCCAAGTCTGGTCTTGAACTTGCGATTGTGCCTCAGCCTCCTGATCTGCTGGGATTGCAGGTGTGCACCACCGCCCCCAGCTCTACCAGTTTTAATTAAATCAGTTTGAAGTTGTTTGCATTCCAAATTTTGTGTATTTTTATTACAGTATAAATGTTTTCTTTATGTCTTGACCAGTACAAAGAAAAGCAAATATGAGGACATCTCCACACAGAGAAAACTCAAGATCAAATTAAGTTTGATCTTATGAGAAACATGTATTCTCTGTACTTCTTAAGTAACCTAAAGTAAGGATTTGAAATGCACCTTACAAAAGGTTTAGTCTTACATGAATTCTATAGTCCACCCACCCACCCCCTGCAGAATTAAGGGTATCTTAAAGAAACAAAACTCTACTTGGTATATATATTAGTTGGAAGAATATTTTGTGAAGGCTGCTTTGGAGATAATGTAAGATCTTTGCCTTTGAAGGTCTGTCTCCTGCTCTTTGGGGTTTCTTTCTGACATTCCATCTCTTCTTCAGTTTCTTTGTTGTGACCAAGAGTGAGGTAAATGGAAAAATGTGATGGAAGTGAGAGAGGAAAGGAAGAAAGCCCCTGAATCTAGTTTCCTCCCTTAGAGAAATATTCTCAAGCTTTTAAAAAGAAGCAGTGTTTCCTGTACTGCAGAATGACAGGGATGGTTAATAGGAGCAGAGGATTTGTTTTGTTTTGTTTTGTTGAGTCCCAGAAAGGAAAAAAAAAAGAGACTTCACAATCTGAGCATCCATACCTATATTATGACTTGGATGAAGTACAAAGTGACAATATATAGTAACATCTAAGCAAACAAGAAATTTTATCCTAGACTTTGACATTAAATTGGGTTAGTTCTCATGCATTGTAGACACTCACAGATTGTGAATAAATTGCATGGATGGAGAAGTTTAGTCCCTGGACATGCAAGTGGCTAAATTTTCTTCATTTTTGTATCCCTTCAATATAATGCAGAGCCTGGCATAGATTGGTATTTTAATAGGTTTTATAAATAAATAACGAATGAATGACTAAAGGGAAACAGCAAGAGGTTTAGTTTTTTTTTGTTTGTTTGGTTTAGTTTTGTTTTTTGAGAGTTCATCCAATAAATATTCATCAGTTATTTATTGAGTACTAACTCTGAATAAAATACTGGGCTATGTATTGAATAAAGTAAATAAAAGATTAATCAGACAGTCTTTGTCCTCAAGTTATTTATAATCTGATAAGGAATACAAATGTGTTGTAAGCAATCTAATGTAAATAAAATAAAATGTAATAGGTATGATGATGAAAAGGTATAGATAAAGCATTCTAAGAATGATAAGCAAGAATTCAATTCTTAGTGGTACAAAATCAAAAGAATAATCAGAATATGTTCAATTTTAGAGACAAGCCTGGAGTTTTTGTTTTGTCTGTTTTCTCTTGGATATATATACTCTACCTTTATATGTTTCCTTCCCCAAAGGTTTAGCTTTCTGTGTGAAACATAATTCCATGAGAAAGTATAGAACGTTACACAAAAGGGATGTTATCTAAATACAGGAAGTGTCCACTAACTTTACCTAATTTGGGTTTCTTCATCTAAAGAGTAGAACCACCTTTCTCTGCTCTACAGGCCTTTGATTCTGGAGTCACAGATTTGCAGTCACCACCCACAGTCCGAGAAGAGAAGTCAGCCACTGACCTGGCTGCAAAACTGTTGCTCCTTGATGAGCTGGTATCTTTGGAGAACGACGTGACAGAGACAAAGAAGAAAAGGAGCTTTTCTGGCTTTGGGTCTCCCCTAGACAGGCTCTCAGCGGGCTCTGCAGATAAAGTTAAACAGAGGTAAGCGAGCCTTTTGGAGAAGGGAAATCTGCACTCTCTAATCCTTTCATTCTGGGCTCCAAAGTAAAGAGAATTAAATGTAAAAAAAATACAGTGAAAAAATTCTATGCAAACAGATTTAACAGAGTATTAAAGTTGTGGGTTTAATAGTGTGAATTTGGAAGTAAGTGATTAAGGAACAAAATGACCTCTAGCTACAGTGTGCATTAGCTTTCCTGTCAGAATGTTCCCTGAGGAGGATCCTCACACACATGTATACCATGGCTGTTGTAAGACATGTTTGCATTTGCAAAGTGAAGGAGAACATGTGCATAGTGGGATAAATATTCTGATCACCTGAGTCTTCTACTTAATAGAAGCATTCGGAATATCATTGTTTTTATCCTCAACACAAAGCTTTCAAAATATGTGAATTAATGTATTTTTCTCTACCAAGAAATAATGAAGAGCTCTCAGAACTTGGAGTGAGAAAACAGGTATTTAAGCCTGGAGACTTTAAAAGTAGCTTACCCTCTGTAATCCTCAGCTTATTTGTCTACAAACCGGTGTGATTACCTACCTCTGTAAAAAAAAAAAAAAAAATCAAACATGATAATCAAATTAAAGTGCATTGTGATATTTCAATCAACATAAAAGAATTAGAATAAATGCATCTCCCTCAATTACTGATCTCCCTTAATTAACCCATAATTAAAGAATGGTTTAATTTATTTTCTATGTTCCCAATATCTGTTCCTTGTGCAATATATTTTATATTAGCAAAGGCACAAGAGACCACCCAATTACCATACCAAATTCTCTGTAAAATCTACTAGGATTCCTTTTCTTACCCTAAATATCATATTTCTCACTAAATTCTCTAAGTTTTCTTTTTTTATTGTCTATCTTTTATCTAACTGTCTTGAGAACCCTGATGGCAAGGAAGCATGCTATTATGATGGTCAGTCAAAAGGATCTAAAATATGAGAATCTGAACTTTAAATAAGACATTAAATATAGTACACCAAATCAGCATAAATCTGTGTATTAAAATGATATTTTAAAGCCTAATGGGTCATCTTTACAGAATACTAATTTTCAGTTCATTGCTTTAAAAACTTCTAAATGGGGATAACTTTAATCTTTCTTTTGAGAACTCCACTACTGACAGTAGACATGAAATTTTCTCTTTAAATCTTTGTAGCTAAAATAATCAGGAAATGATAAGATTAGCTGATGCGGTAGAAACCTTTTATAGAATTGTTCTCTCTAATAAAAAAAGAAGGAATGACAGAATTAGGATGTCTCTATTTTGCATACCCTAATGGACTTTGGATGTAGACAATGATTTTTGAACACTGCCAGCATCCACAAGGGGAAACAGCAAGTCATTACATGTCTCCTGATGAAAGAAGCCAGCCCCACATAAGAGACCGTTGCCAGAAAACAAACAAACACACAAACAAACAAATAAATAAATAAAGGTAGTCTTGCCTCCAGATCCACCAAGCAATGTTCAGGAACCATGGAAGACAGGAATGGTTTCAGAAACACTACAAAGACACAAAGAGCAAAATCCAGATGGTGAGAAACTACCGGACAAATAATCCGGTTTCTTCAAGAAATAATAGGAAAAAATGAGATGGACAGCAAAGGGGATTCTAGAGATTAAAGTAGACCTAAAAGACTTATTAAGCATTAACAATTTCTTTTAATTACAGCCTGATTTGAACAATAATCTTTTTATAAGTTAACATATGTAAATGACAGTTGCAAATGTAAGCAGTATAGCTATTTGATATTAAGTAATTATTATTTACTTTCAAATAGGAAAATGATACCATCATTCAAAATGAGAGATACCTCAAAAAAATAATTAAATTGAAAGTGCAGATGCTCCTCGACTTATGATGGGGTTACGTCTTGATAAACCCAACAGAAGAGGAAAATCTCACTAGTCCAAATGCATTTAATACATCTAACCTATTGAACAGCATAATGAGCAACACAGTATATTGTAGAATATTTCTTATTTATGCCTATGATCAAGTGGCTCAATAGAAGCAGTAGCTTGCTATTGCTACAGGGTATTCTGCTGAAAATCTTCTGTCCAGAAAAAGATAAAAATTCAAAATATGTTTTCTACTGAGTAAGTATGGCTTTCTCACTACTGTGAAAAAGACAAAAAAAAATTTAAGCTGAAACAGTGTAACTGGGATACGGTTTATTTGTTTATTTATCTGAAAGTTGCTTCCAAACAATACAGAAGCAGAAGTGGACCCAGATACAGCAACATTCACAATAAATTAGTAATTGTCTTAGATTGATGGGTTCAGAGGGGTTCATTACACTATTCTATTCTGATATGTGTTTGAAATGTTTTATAACAGATATTTTTGAAAACTAAACAATGAGATAAATAGCATATTAGACCTGGAAAAAAGATAAATAAATCTATCATAAAGAAATAACTCAGAATAGAACAAAAGTATATGGAGAGTAGAATAAAAAATTGTAACATAAAATTTAATCTAATAAGTTTTGTGGGACATATATGGAATCAAAAAGAAAAAGTCAAACTACCAGGCCTGGTGGTGCACACTGTAATCCCAGTAGCTCAGAAGGCTAAGGCAGGAGGATTCCAGGTTTAAGCCAGCCTCAGCAACTCAGCGAGGCCCTAAGCAACTCAGGGACACCCCGGCTCTAAATAAAATATTATGTGGCTCAGTGGTTAAGTACCCCTGGGCTCAATCTCTGGTATCAAAAAAATTGTTTTTTAAAAACATTTGCCATCCAATATTGCCATTCGATATTGGTACAGATGTTGGTTGAAGGGTTCAAAGTTTCAGTTAAACAAGATGAATAAGTTCTGGAGATCCATTGTACAACATGATGATTACAGCTAATAATAATGTATTATATATTTTTAAATTGCTAAGAGAGTAGATTTTTAATGTTTATGTGAGGTAATGCATATATTAATTAACTTGATTTAATCATTTTATAATGCACATATGTATCAAAATTTCACATTATATACCATAAATATATACAATTTTATTTGTGGATTATGCCTTACTAAAACTGAGTACAAAGGTAAAATAATAAAAAAAATCTGAAAGAGAAGTTTTGTGGGAACAAACTGAGGAGAAAAATTACTATTTGACAATATTGTGCATATTTGTGAATAATTTTCAATAAATGATAGAAAAAATATAAAATTTTAAATTCAGCAATAAGAACAAATTTTGACATGAATAAGTAATATTCTTGACAGATTGAGGGAATTAGGAACATTGTTCTGTGAAGAGAAAATCATGTAAGAGATAGCTTAGAGACTTGAATATTTGGGGTGTCGTATTGGGAGAACTGAATAGCATGGAGTGGGCTTGATGTTAGGAAATAAGAAAAAAAGCTGAATAATAAATGAAATAAGGAAGGAGAGTTGGGGTAACACAGGGATGCTGTGTGTGGGGATGCCCTCTGGAATGTGCAATGCAAAGCTCCTATAGCTTCATTCTATTCCTGGAGCCATATTGAAAGGTGCCATACAATATTGTATGAACAGAGTGTTTTAGCCAGCTTTTGCATCACTGTAACCAAAATATCCAACAAGAACAATTTAGAGGAGGCAAAACTCCATTACTCTGGACCCAAGGTGATACAGCACTTCATGAAGGAAGGGCCCAGCAGAGTCAAGCTGCTGGGGTCTTGGAAGGGTAAGGAAACATCGAGAAGGAGGGAGGGGAGAAGGGGCCAAAGACAAGACACACTCTTCCAGGGCACAACCTCAGTGACCCAACTCCTCTAGTCATTCCCCACCTTTCTAGAGTTACCACCCAGTCAGCCAGCAAACTAGGATGGGCCAATTAGGTTACAGCTCTCATAATTTAATCATTTTACCTCTGACTATTCCTTCATGAACAGGAGCTTTTAGAGAAACTTCATATCCAAACGAGAACAACTAAAAAGGATTTTAGTAGAATAACTGATGATCTTTATCATGTTCCCTTTTCTCTGCCTTCACCTTCACCTCCAACTATTTCCAGAAGTTTAGCAGGTTAAAGAGAGCAAAAGGGATTTGCACAGACTGAACCATGAGCTTGAAAAGTTGAACAATTTTTTTTCTAAACTAAATTCTTTATATTTTTATATATTTTTGTATGATAGCTGATACTTTGTGCATTCAAATTAAACTCCAATTGCATTTCCTATGAGTTATTGCTGCAGCATTCATTTTTTTTTACAAGAATTCCTGTTCTTAGTCTTAAAGCAAAAATTAAATTTAGTTTGTATATTAGAGAGGTGGAAAACTATAGGAGATAAATAATAAATATTACATAACATATTTCTATACTCCTTGAGTTTTAGTAAAATAATTTTAGACTTCTTGTGGTATATAAATTTTTAAAATATTCAAGGTTAATATTTTACATTACAAAGATATTTAAATATCATTAAATATGTATAATAGAGGCACAGGACTAAAATAGATATCTTTACATATAAAAATGATATAGTTAAAAACTACAGTAATTTTACACGGGAGATCTGTACTAAGGATTATTTACCTGCACCTTTATCTCAATAGATGAAATGATAGTATTGGTCCAATATTTTTTTTTATTTTTCACAAGGCTGGGAATTTATTACTTTAATATGTATGAATCTACATATTTTCTGATTTGCTTATAAACACCCGTGGTTTTCAGGTGCATATCATACATTTTTCTCCTTCTCAAACAAACTTTCTCAATATTCTTACTGATGGAGAGAAGGTAACTGATTTCTGTCATCCATTCTCTAGTCCTAACAATTGCATCTATAACTCAACCCAGGGATTCATAAGCTTTTTCTGCCATACGTCACTTGGGAACTTTGAAGAAGCCTATATCCCCTATCTCAGATATCACTTTTGAATGGGTAGAATTCACAAGAATTCAACCATTACAAATTAGAAATAGAATTATTAACTTGTAGTATACTAACATATATGATTATTAATACACAAAATAACAAGA